CGAAATGTGAGTACAAGTGAATTACAGAAGCAATATGTCAATATTTATTATGCTTTTTTACTTGCTTTTTTATCAGAAATCTACGATACGCTCCATGATAAATGCTTGCATATTTTCTTCTACCAACGAGAGTGAACACATCGAAGGTGGAAACTCTGGAGAAAATTCAGTCAGTAGTTCACACGAGCAGGAAATCAACACAGAGAAAAGTAATATTGAGTATCATCCGGTTGCTCTGCACCATTCATCGAACGAAACAGTGTCGGAAATAGTTTTGCAAGAAGCTCAGTTAGTTCCAGATGACAGCTCAGCCCCAGTAGCGAGCACTTCGAGGGATACGCTTATCGATAACGAAGAGAGAACTCGCAATCACTGGAATATTTTTTCTCCAAGCGTACTGAAAGAATTACTGAACGAATCCGAAGAAGGCAAGGACATACTACAGAGGGCTAACGCTGGCGAACTCTCTGAAGCCAAGCAACTGCAGTTGGCAGGACTAATTGCAAAACATCATCTGAACCAAAGGGACAAACTACATTCCGAAGACTTAGAGAAATATGTACTTGCAATTTGTACATTGTTCAAGTTTGAACGGCAGGTAAACAAAATTACATATAATGAATTGGTAGAGCTAAAGAAGTCATGTTCTATTGATTATTTACTTACAGGAAAATTACTACATTGCCAGAGGTGGAGACAGGCGTAACCCCGGTGGCAAAATCGCAAATAAGATCGGCAACTTGAAAAAGAAGAAAAGAAGAGCAGATGCCAAAGAAGACGAATACGCAAAGACTCTAAAACGGGATTTACCTTGTGATGTACCAACAAACGAAAATGATCAAAAATGTATCGAAGCTTACGAATGGTTGGTACTGAACCAAGAGCCTTGGTCAACCGTTACAGACAAATGGCCTGTAAGCATCTCTAAAAGAAATCCATATTTGCGGTCACATTCTGCGGTACCAAGGCTTTTTATGTTATTTCCACACTATAAACATCAGTACGGTTATCAGTTGGTAAGTTTTTAACTTATGTCCTAACATTGTGATACAATGATTATTTTTATAATAATTATTATGCTTTTTTGTTGACTAGATCGATTATGATTTCAAGCTATTGTTTGGTGGAAGCTCAAACGGATTGGAGAAGTTGGAAAAAATCCGACCAGCAATAGTAGAGTATATATCAATAAAAGCTGTAGATCCTTCAGCGGAGACCTTACTCAAGTTGCTTACCGGAAACGACACAAGTGAAGGTAAATTAATTGATTGTTGAATTTTAAGTGTTAAATTATGTTTATTTTGCTTCAGATGTAAAAAATTGTGCTTTATTGCTTGGTCTTAATACCGTACTGCCACCGATACCAGTTGGATCGCGATTCAAGCCAACAATATGCGTCGCACAAGAAGACACGATCATTTTCGCTGAATGCCAGGTTGAAGCCGATAATAAAGTTCAAAATAAATACCACGACTACGCGGACCGAAATCTACCTGAAGTTCCCAAATTAGTAATTTTGGGAAATGATGTAAGCAACATGAGTGGACGCTTCCTAGTTTACTTCAAAGATTTCAACTACGAACTAACATCGGCTGCACGTGCGATTGATGTGATTTTAAAAACAACTATGGTACTTGGTTTACCATTCTCCAAAGTGTCGAAATTGGTGTGGCACTTCCTTAGCAGCGAAGTCTACGGGATTCCTGAGCGCGAATCATATGCCAGTATTAACAAGCTGAGAAATTACTTACGGTCAATAGAATAGAAGCCCCATAATGATTGGTTGTATGATCACATCTTGTAGTTCCTCCATTTAGAGAGGCAGACGTATATTTAATCCATTTAAAAGACCACCACCAAGTGCCCGCAGTTTATAGATATCCATGTACAGTAGCAGCCTGCAAACAAATATTCACGAACTTTCATGCATTCAGGAAACATATCAAACGACATACAAAATCAGAAGAACCATTTCAAATTCAAAATAGAAAAAGAACAGAGAACATCGATAGCTTACCCGGTAGTGTACCACAGCTTGTTAAGAAATCCAAGACAGATGACGTGGAATCTCCTCAGTATGTGAACCGGTTTGAAAATATAGAATCTTCAGCAGTACAGCTGACGTTAGGATTACACATGAAAAATAACACCACGCGAAAAGATGTCCGTGATATTCAGCACGAGGTCAGCCAAATAATAAGCGGAATAGCTACTAATTTAGAGAGTATTGGTGTCATTCACCCGAATGCCCAGAATGAGTTTATTTTTAAAAGCTACATTACTAAAATGAAAAGTTTGTTCGATCCTATCAACACTGATTATAAGCTATTTGATTATTTGAAAAAGTCAGGTAAACTTGTTTTGCCTCAGATAGTTAGTATAGATAACGAAGAGAATCTTGAGTCACAAGTGATGAATTTTGAAACAGATTTAATAGAGGAGAGAAAACATTTTCTAGTAATGATGCCAATCAAACATCAAATCAAATGTTTCTTAGAATGTAATGACGCACTAAAAGTAATATTGAAACACGCAAGTCAATTGGAAAAAGGAGCATACATTAAAAACTATGTCAATGGAAACACCTGGAAAAAAATAAGAGAAAAATATAATGACGATGTTATTGTACCCATTTGGCTGTACGCCGATGAGTTCGAAGTTAACGACTCTCAGAGCTCACATTGTAATAGACATTCTGTATGTGGCCTATACTACAGTTTTCCTACACTGCCAAACGAATATTCTTCCAAACTAAAAAATATATTTGTAGCAGGAATGCTGAAAAAAATAGATATAAAAGAAGAAGGCATTAACAGGTTAATTTCACCATTGGTTTGTGCATTTAAAGACCTTGAAGACAATGGTATTGATTTTAATATCGATGGAAAGTATCGAACCGTTAGATTTGTGCTTTGCTTGTTAACAGGAGATAACTTAGGTATACATAGTATGTTATCACTATCAAGCGGATTTAATGCCACATTTTATTGTAGATTTTGTAGGAGGCCTAAGGAACTCCTTAAAAAGGATATTCAAGAACATGCTGACTGCATGCGGCGCAAACAAGATTACGACGATGATATAAGAACTAATTCATTAAGCGAGACGGGTATAGCCAGAAATTCAGTATTCAATGATTTACCTTCATTCCATGTAATAGAAAACAAAAGTGTTGATCCTATGCACGATTGTTTTAGCTCGGGGATCTGTAAATATGGATTGACAAAAATATTGAACTATTGCATCTACACGAAAAAGTATTTTACCCTGAAACAACTCAATGATAATCGTAGGGAAATAAGCAAGATATGTTTAAACGATGAACTCAAGCGGATGCCAGATGCATCCCAATATTTTATAAGCAGAAACAAAACCAACTCTGTATCGCTCAAAATGACATCAAGTGAAATGCTTATTTTTACACATTATTTCACGTTTATCTCAGCAAAATATGTTCCTGCTGATGATTTAGTATGGAAATTTTGCACTATATTGATACGATTAGTTGACCTATGCTTGAAATCTTCATTTTCACTCGACGATATTACTCACTTAAGACATCTTATCGAAACACATCATACATTGTACGTTCAGCTTTTTGACGATGATTTGAAACCAAAGCATCATTTTTTGGTCCATTATCCAACTGTTATACAAGAATCAGGTCCAGTGTATAAAATGATGTGTTTCCGAAATGAAGCGAAGCACCGTGGCTTCAAACAGTATGCACATATAATGCCATCACGTAAAAATCTTTGCTATACACTTTGCGTAAAAGCATCGCTACAATTTACGTACAATGTCATTAACAAAACATTCCTGGAAAATGATGCCAATGATAAATTCCAGATGGCTGATATTCGTTTGCGAAACTATTTCTCTCAACTTGTTCAGCCATTACAGCTACAAACGGAGTTTAATGTTATGCTGGCAAGTTCTGCTTATAACAAGGGAACTATCTACAGAACAGGGAACTTTATGACAATGTTCAAGAACAGTGTGGTGCATTTGTTTGAGATTTTAGAATTATTGCTATTTCACGATTCTTTATACTTAATAGTACAGATGTGGCATGTAGGTGAGTATAATGACCACTTTTTGGCATACGAAGCCATTGATAGAATAAATTTGGTGGATATAATTACCATTGATATTTTTGACAGTCAGCCTGTGTCCTTACATCGCATCGATGGTGTATACATGTTTCGAGTTAAGAATAATTATAATGATTATTGTTAAACTAATAGGAGATGGAAAAGGTTCAATTAAATGTGTGCCATGTATTATAATAAGGAAACTATATTTTAATTAAATGTATGTAATATTATAAAACAATAAAATATATACATGTTTAATTACACTTAAAGTTATTATGCACAGCGTAAAGTGATGTGACTTTCTGCCGCCAGTGAAGGAACAAAAATCACGTTGTGTAACGTGAGACATTATACATCTCAGGCGGAGTCTCACGTCACACAAGGTGACTTTTGTCACTTCAATGGTAACAGGCAATCACATCGCACGCTGCACAGAATTACCATGATTCATAAAAAAAACAAACGACCTCCAGTAAATATTATTACAAGATCAGGTAAACATTACGTGAAAATCCGGTCCAATCAACATGAAATGCACGTTACGTTTAATTAATTTTCCAGTAAATGTCATTCCAGGATCACGTAAACGTTACGTGAAAATACGTTCAGATTAAATTTGAAATCACGTAACATTTACCTTACTACTCACGTTGACAGCCAGACGAAAATATGTTTAGATACAAGACATTCACGTAAATTTTACGTGAAAAGATATATGGACGAAAGCTACCTATATTTTCACGTAAATCGGACGTGCATATTTTTTGGAGTGTAGTTTTGCTTTATATTCCGTAAACACGCAAAGAGTCTTCTTGATTCATTTAGATTGCTGAATCTCGACTTTATTTTATACATAGTATTCAACAAATAAATCCACCACAACATCCCATACAATCCAAACAGGTGAAGAACTCAACACCACCAACACCGCCAACTCAAACGAACCACTATGGCGCTCGAACTACGGAATGGACTACAAAGGCCCCGCCCGGTCCGTAACTACGACGGATCTGGTATGCTGGGCCTCCCAAGTGGCAAGCGGCATGGAATATCTCGCCTCGAGGAAGGTCCTCCACGGAGATCTGGCTGCACGCAACATACTTCTCTGCGATGACAATGTGGTCAAAATCTGCGACTTTGGTCTCGCCCGATCAATGTACAAGAGTGAAAACTACAAAAAGAAGGGAGAAGCTCCCCTACCGTTCAAGTGGTTGGCCCTGGAGTGCATCAGCGATAATGTGTTCGGTACGTACTCGGACGTGTGGGCCTACGGCATAGTGCTGTGGGAATTCTTCTCACTGGGACGGGTTCCCTACCCGGGTATGGAAGCCAACCAGGAGCTGTACAACAAACTGCGCGATGGCTATCGAATGGACAAGCCACAATACGCCAATCAGGACATCTACGACATCATGTTGAACTGCTGGAACGTGAAACCCGATTCGCGACCATCGTTCAAAGATCTGAAAAGTCGGTTCAACGCAATGCTGCCGGAAGAACTGCGAAATGTAAGTTGCGAAGTTTGTGAAACTCATGCTCCAATCTGACCGGTCTTGTTTTCAATTCTAGCACTACATCGATCTCAACGAGCCATATCTGACCATGAACGCCGAGAAGGAGGAACGAGGAGAGCCGGATTACCTGGCAAGTCTTGGACCACCGGAAGAACAGGCACCCAAAGCTCCACCCAACTACGTTAACGGAATCATTCTTCCGTTGCCACCGAGTAAGATTAACCCGTTTTTAGATTTAGGAAATCTCCACATCTAATTCACATTCCCTATCCAGTTTCCGACAATCCGGACTACCTGCAGATGACCAGCGCCAAGTCGGACTCCGAGGACAGTCCGTTCGACTTTGCCTCGTTCAACAACAGCCAACCGTCGCCGACGTTGAAGAACAACCTAGACTCCAGCCCCCAGCAGGCAAGCAAACAGCACAAAAAGAAAGGAATCCCCGAGGAAATCCCAATGCTGCACAACCGCTCCCGTTCCGGTGGCCATGATATCAATTCCGACTCGGAAACGGAACCCACAAGCCCGGTACCGAAGGAACGCACAACCAAGCTGATACACCAGGACCACGAATACACCAATGTGAAACGACTGAACAGACCCACCACCAGTAATGGGCAACAGCAGACAAACGACCCGGGGAAGGACGCCTTTAGCAATCCCGGCTACGTGGTGGTGCCCGTAGACAACGAGAAGAGATTGAATTGAGCCACACTTTCGAGGACGCGCTTTTTACTTAGTTAGGATTGAGATCGAGACGAATGGGGAACGAATGTATGAGTTTTAAAGAACTATTTACTACTTGTGAGTGTTGTGAAGCGGTTGTCTGTCTGTCCGATGTAGGAGTGATCGTTTTGCACTCGCTGTGAGTGGGGGAAGCTTTTAAAAATGTTTTCTCACTAATCAATGCCTTAAATGTTTTAGAAAGTCTAGGATATTTTACTCATTATTGTTGTATGTCAATAAATTATTGTAACTTCAGTGATGCATGTCGATGTTTTATTGGCAATATCACACAGCCTTTTTTTTCCTTGATTTGTTTTCCGTGCTGAGCACCAATGCTACCGACGCTAGGGAGGCAGCTCCCACACCTGGACCCTACCTATCGACCCATCAACTCATGAACCGGGGACCAACGGCTTTACTTCCCTTCCGAAGGAAGGCGTGATCAGAGATGTTATGCCTCAGAACATCCCGGCGGCGCCGACTGGTATTGAACCCAGGCCTGCTGGGGTGAGAGGTAATCACGCTTACCACTACACCACCGGCGCCAGTATCACACAGCCTTACCCAAGTAAATTTTTTGGTTTTATCACAGACTAGACATAGACTAGAGAGGGTTTAGTATAAGAGAGGAGCGGATTAAAAACAAACTGCCTTGGCAACCTATGTCTAGATGGTTTCTAGCAACACTACCAATGCAATCAAGATAGGCGCAGCTCGATTGGCTCTGGCTTTGATAGTTTATTTGGCTCAAAACCAACTAGTCCGCTCCTCTCTTATACTAGACCCTCTCTAAGGAAGATCATCACGTGGACTTGAAGAATTTTTATTCGCGAGCTAAGCAGTTTTCCTAAAATTTGAGCTAAGTAGTCACACTCAATATTGGCATGCGCCTTAAAATATAAATCTGCCTAAAATAACGATGCACCCGCCTCTTGAAGTCTTAAAAATTGAAGTTTTTCAAATAGTGTATTATCTAGTTGATATTATTTGCGAAGGTGGCATTTGCCACACAACAAAAACCCGAGGAGCGGAAAATCGCTTTAATTTTCCTTGAAGATCTACAAAGTCCTCTTATCCTTCCTTCTTGAAATTATTTTTCTAAAAGTTCCAGCAACATTTTCCAAGCACCATAATTTTTTGTCTTACATACTTGACTTTCTCCAAATTTCTGGAAAAACTTTAAACCATTTCTAGAAATTTTGTTCAAAACAAAATTCCCAAAACTATCTGTTGGGACCCATGGACATCCCTAGCAGCGTTGCCAGACATACCGATTTATCGGTATTTATACCGATTTCCGAACTAGATACCGATATACAGATAAGGTTCCTCAGAATACCGATTTTTGAGGTTTTATACCGATTTATACCGATTTTTTAAATAATCAAAATGATTGCCTGCCCGCGCTAAGAATTTTTGAGAAAATTATTGTGAGAGACTTGTATCTTTTTGAATATCTAAAAATTTTTGAGCCTTTAAAACTCTAAAAAAAAAACATTCTCAAAAATGTCTTATGGATACTCTGTCGATTAATGTTTCAATTTCCTCACCGTTTTTGGCTACCCATGAATCGATAAGCAGTCGATGCCTCTTTCTGGTAATTCCGGGGGAATCGGGAAATACTTTCTAAACATTATTTTAGTTCCTGGATTTTCTTTCACCTTACATCGTTAATTATCTCACGATTCCTCTCGGAAACTTATTTCCACTTCCCTTGGAAGCTTCTTCAACCTTCGCTCGAATGATTCTTCCATCTTCTCTCGCCAGTTTTTTCAACTTTCCCGGAACTTCAGAGATGCTTCAGATTTTTGTGGCGTATCCACACTAGCTGTAGGAACTTTTAAGAAGTTCTGAAACTTCAGAAAAGTCCAGAATTTTGAGTAATTTTCGATAAATTAAAGAATGTTTCGATAACTTCTGTTACAATTCAAAACCCGAACATTTCAGGAAAGTCCAGCGACCTCCAGTGAACTTAAGGAAACATCATAAATATTTTGGATACTTCACAAGTCCAAAGAACTTCTGGAAAATTTAAAGATTTTCAGGACAGTTTAGTTTCAGGAAAACTGAGAGAACTTTAGGAAGCTCCGAGAACATCAGGACAAATTATTAAATTTCAAGGAAACCGTTGAAGTTTTAAAGGAGTTCCGAGAAACTCAGGTAATTTCTGAAAACTTCAGCAATGTTCCGAGGGGCTCATACAAATTTAAGAAACGTAAGGGAAGTTACATGAACATTAGCACATTGTGAGAACATTTTATGAGAGGTTCCGTGCTTGTTAATGGCAGTGTCGATAACTCTTAAAAATTAGAAAAATCGGGAAGAATAGAGAACTTTAATGCTGATGTTACAATAATTTCAAGAAAATTGCGAGAGTGACTAAGAAATTTCTTAATTTTCAAGAAAGTCTAGAGAACTTCAAAGTTGATTAGAGATATTCCGGTAGTCTCATTATAATCAGGGAATTTCCAAGTATTTCAAAGATGGTCAGAGTACTCCAAAACTTTTAAGGAATTCCGAGGAAATATGGAATATTCCTAACTACATTCAGGAATGTTCCAAAAACTTCAGGGGCATTGCAGGGTCTTCAGGGATGTTTTATGACCATTTGGAAAATTTTCTGGATCACTAGAACATCCCCCAAGAGCTCTTTCTTCCGGAATTATATCCTTGTTTCTTTCGACTTCCTACAGATTTTTTTCTCTAATCTACCTTAGGAAGTTTCTGCCAGCGTCTCCAAGAAGTTTCTTCCGTTTTCTCCAGGAAGTTCAGAAATTTCTTTCGTTTAGTTCTGGAATCTTGCCTAGTTGATTTTTTTTTTACTTCTATTGGAAGGTTTTTCCGAGCTTCTTCGGCTTCCCCTGGAAATGGCTACTGCTGGAATTTATTTCCGATTTCCGAAACTTGTCTGCCTCCCTTTGAATGTGAAATCCGATTTTATTCTGAAAGGTTCTTTAAATTTTCGCCAAAAGTTTCTAAATTGGAAGTTCCGCGGATGTTTTTCCGACTTCTCTCAGAACTTTCCTCCAGGAGAGCTTCTTTCTTCTTTTTCTGGATGTTGTTTTCAGCTTCCTCCAGAAGCTAATTCAAACATTCCCTGCAGTTTTCTTCCGGAGTTTTTCAATCATCGTCCAAAAGTTAAAATTTTCGCAAACGGCAAAAATATAAAATTAATTAAAATAGTAAATACCGATACCGATAAATACCGATTTTTTAAAACCTTTGATACCGATAAGCTTAAGAACATTCTGACAACGCTGATCCCTAGTACACGAAACAGAATGCATCGACCAGCTGAGCTCACTGTTGGCAGACCACCCTGTCTCCAGTCGATGCTATACCGAACAGCGAGAAACGTCATCGGCAGTTTTTAGAAGAGAAGTGAAACAGCGTGTTTTACACACGAAGCATAATTTGTATTTTACAAAATAAAGTTTATTTTAATTGTATTGATCTCTCGCGCATTACATACATTCAATGTCACGGTCACCTAAGTCGCGCGAGTCGTAAAAGTGGCGACGAGAAATTCGGTTTTTCGCGGAAAAAGTGCAAGTGAAAAATTACTCCACCCACGAGGAAGAGGCAAATTTTGGTCAATCTGTCAAACCGCCGGGAGGAAACAATCAACGTAATCCACCGCCAAACCCAGGAAATCCACTTTTTCGTCCTCCAGTGATGCACTAGGGAAACCAACCTCAAATTCAGCAGCAACAAATGCCCATTCAAGCCGACCTGTTGATGGTCTGTTTTCGAAGGATGCCGTTCGCCTGGATGATGAGGCGAAGGTCCGCCTACTACTTCGGAAACTAGGACTACATTCTGCCGAAAATTACGAAGGAGGTGAATTTTACGGATACATTGGCGAAACTGAAAAGCTTGTTTGGTACGGTGGAATCGCTCATCAGCCGGTTTTAGCTTTGCCTCCAGGTCGTCAAGCAGCCTGGCGAGGATTACAAGACGTACGCTTGCCGGTTGAATCGACTTTGCGTCGAGTTCGAGTTAGCGAAAATGAGCGAGGAGCAGTTTAAATGTTTGCTTTTCGTATGCGGTCTGTAATCGGAAGGAGATGGCGAGATCCGGACACGATTGTTGACCCGCATAGAAGAAAACGCAGCAGTCACACTGGAACAAATCTCCGACGAATGTCAACGACTGCTCACGATCAAGCACGATACAGTAATGATCGAATCGTCAGCAGCCATCAAGGCACTCCAGCGTAAGCAGCCCTCCCGAAAGCAGCAGTTCAAGCAAGAGATGGGGCACTCACCGTCGAAACCAAGTAAGCCCGATGGAACTGGTCCAGCTACACCATGTTGGAACTGCTGTTCCATGTACTATGCACGGGATTGCATCTACGGCAAGCACAGATGCAACGAATGCGGCCAGTTTGGCCATCGGGAAGGCTACTGTTCCAGCGCTAGGAAAACCAGCAACTCTTCGAAGCGGAAGAAATTCAAGCCGGTGGCAACCATGATCGTTCTGGTGAGCAGCGTGAAAAAACAGCGGAAGTTCGTGACAGCTCGACACGGCATCCGACATTAGCGTAGTTTCGGAAACGACGTAGATCGGTCAGTCACCATTGAAGCGAGCAACGATAAATGCGTCTACAGCATCCGGTCATCCACTGAAGCTTGAGTTGGAGTTTTCGTGTGAGGTCTCGATAGACAGGGTCACTCGCAACGGTCGATTTTCCGTCGTAAAGCAACCGTTGCATCTATTGGGCATCGATCTTATCGACACATTCAATCTGTGGTCGGTCCCAATAGAGCATTTCTGCAACCAGGTCAGCAGTTCTCCGTCAAACATCGACACCCTCAAGCCAGCGTTTCCCTCGACATTCTCCAACGCACCGGGGTTGTGCACGAAAGCGAAGGTCCGGTTCAGCCTGAAGGAAGGGCAGACTCCTGTGTTCCGCCCAAAACGGCCAGTCGCCTACGCAATGTACGACACGTTTAATCAAGAGCTGGATCGACTGGAACAAGCAAACATCATCACACCGGTCGAGTACTCCAAGTGGGCTGCACCGACAGATGTGGTCCGGAAGGTGAGCGGTGCCATACGAATCTGCGAATGACGCCATCCAACCGCATCAATATCCGCTTCCTCTCCCACAGGACATCTTTACAAAGCTGGCCAATTGCAAAATTTTCAGCCAAATCGACCTGTCAGACGCCTACCTACAAGTCGAAGTGGACGAAGCCTCAAGAGATCTGCTAACAGTAAACACGCATCGGGGCTTGTACCGCTACAACCGATTGCCGCCAGGAGTGTAAGCAGCACCTGGAGCGTTTCAACAACTGGTGGACACCATGCTGATCGGACTCATGCATACCTCAGGTTACATCGATGACGTGATTGTAGGAGGAGTGCATGAAGCGGATCACCAACGAAACCTGCAAGCAGTTCTTCAGCGCATCCAAGAATATGGCTTCACCATCAAGACGGAGAAGTGTTCTTTTGGGCAGCGTCAAATAAAGTACCTTGGGCATCTCCTCGACGGACGAGGATTGCGACCGGATCCAGCTAAAATCCAAGCCAACCGGGCATTGCCAGCTCCTACGGATGTGTTCGGCGTTCGCTCGTTCCTTCAGGAATGGACTTTGCGATATCCTCTCGATGAATTGTTGAAGGCCGGCAAGAAGTTTGAGTGGTCGTCGGAATGCCAAAAATCCTTCGACAAATTATTATATTATATTTTATTACTTCGATATCTTCATCCGACAATTTGTTGTCTTAATGAATAATTCTTAGCATCAACATCAATTCATTCTTCTTAGCCTTGAGCGAAATTGAACAGAGTTTTCATTGAAGTCGAACAAATTATAAACATCGTTGAAATTGCGCATGACTGCACGTACTGGCTCGTTACCGTCGTAGTCCTGTCGCCAGCGTGGTAAGCGGAGAAATTCGGTATTCCTGAGTGCATAGCCGGAAATGTTAATGTCGATGAGAGCAAGAAGATTCGGTGCATCAAGTTCGGCGTTCAGTAGTTTCGCTACAAATACAGCTTTCGCGTTCTTCCTCCTTTGTTCCAGCGTTTCCAATCCCAGTAGTTGGCATCTATTCTCGTAGGGTGGCAGATTAACCGGGTCATTCCACGGTAAGTTGCGAAGAGCGTATCGCACAAATTTGCGCTGAACGGCCTCTATGCGATCGATCACGATGATATGAAACGGATCCCATATAATACAGCCTGTCTCGAGAATTGGACGAACAAGACTAACATACAGCGATTTCAATGTGTAAGGATCTTGAAACTCCTTTGTCACCTTTCCAATGAAACCAAGCTACCGTCGTGCCTTCGCAATAACATCTTCGTGGTGGTTCCTGAACGTGAGACTTGAGTCCAATGTAATTCCAAGATCACGCACTGTCTGCACGCGTGATAGGGTGGTTCCGTCGATGACATATTCATATTGAAGGAAATTTTTCTTGCGGTGGAAGCTAATGACGTGGCATTTAGGTACGCTGAGGGTCATATTGTTGACACGAAACCACAATGCAAACTTGTCCAGTGCCTCCTGGAGTCGCAGACAGTCGTCTTCGTTTTCAACGATCACATAGATTTTTGTATCATCAGCATAAATAAAGTAACATCCATTTTCCAGAAGCACAGTTGCGTCATTGATGTACAGCGAAAATAGCAACGGTCCCAAGTTACTTCCTTGAGGTACACCGGAGGTATTGCAGAACCAGTCAGAAGTTGAAGATCCAATCTTTACTGCAAGAGTCCTGTTGCAGAGATATGATTCGAGCCATTGAACGAAATTGGCAGATGAGCCCATCTTGCGTAGTTTAGCCAGAAGAATGGAGTGGTTGACCCGGTCAAATGCAGCTTTCAAGTCAGTGTATATTGTAAGCAGCTTTTGTCATCTGATATCTTGTTGACGCACTACAATCCAGAGCTGCCCATCATTGTTTCGGCTGATGCGTCTTCAGTGGGAGTTGGAGCTACGTTGAGCCACAAGATGCCTGATGGAACCGTCAAGGTCGTGCAGCACGCTTCTCGTGCACTAACACCGGCTGGCCGAAGTCCAGGTCGGCCATCGCCGATCAAAAAGTCCAGAAGTTCTACGACCGTCAAGACTCGTTGTCGGTTGTCCAAGGCTGCGTGATGTTCGCAGAACGTCTTGCTATTCCGGCACAATTTCGGGACCGCTGCCTCCACCAACTGCATCGAGGTCACCCGGGACTCCAACGCATGAAGGAAATAGCTCGTAGCTACGTTTGCTGGCCTTCAATCGACGCCGATATCGCAGCATTCGTCAAGACTTGCCGTCAGTGCGCATCCGTCGCGAAAAGTCCTCCGAAAGCTAGTTGGAGGCGAACCAGCCTAAGGCTGAAAGCCTCCTAAATAAAGCTAAATTAATTAATTAATCCTCCGAAAGCTCCATCAAAACCGTGGCCAAAGTCAACCCAACCGTGGCAACGCGTAAACATTGATTACGCTGGGCCACTCGAAGGTGATCATTTTCTGCTAGTCGTCGATTCCTTCTCGAAGTGGATCGAAATCGTGAGAACCAAAAGCATCACCTCATCAGCCACGATTGTCATTCTTCGGAGTATTTTCGCACGTTTCGGAATACCCACCACTCTGGTTAGCGACAACGGCATGCAGTTCACGAGCGCCGAGTTCAGCAGCTTTTGCCTTGACAACGCTATCGACAACATCACCACGGCGCCCTACCATCCGCAGTCCAACAGGCAGGCCGAATGTTTCGTCGATACTTTTCAAGCAGGCAATCCGGAAAATACGAGAGGGGAGAGGAGACATCCAGGTAGCTCTCGATATCTTTCTGCTAACCTATCGCACCACCCAGAATCCCTCAGCTCCCGATGGTAAATCGCCAGCGGAAGTCATCTTCGGACGTCCAATTCGGACGTGTCTGGAACTGTTGCGTCCTCCAGCGGCCCGATCAGAAGCAATCACATATCAACCAGTTACGAAACCGATCAACGTCAACCAATGCCGCTAGTCAGTCGACGATGCATCCAACCAGGCCTGTCGGCGAACAAATTTCTCTGGATATTCTTTTGGGAGAATGGAACCTTCAACTTCCCGAAAGTCCAACATCGCCATGTGTTAGTCGGACACTTTTGGAACCTTCGACATCGCAGAACAAGTCTTTGCTTGGTGAACCATCAACGCAGTTAACACCATCGGTACATTACCGATGAATCAAGACGACAAGAACGTGTATCGGTCTCACCACCGTCAGCCGATCGTTCGGAAACGTCTACAACTACGTTGGCATCAACCACGTCTTCGTCCGGTGCCACCAGTTCCAAGAAAACGTCGGCGGAGTTCCAGAGCGCAGTCCAGCGGTACAGCTACCACGTCGCTCTTCGAGGATTCGAAGGCAGTCTCAGTGGTTCGATCCCTACCTTCTATATTAAAGAGGGGAGATGTTGGGACCCATGGACATCCCTAGTACACGAAACAGAATCCATCGAACAGCTGAGCTCACTGTTGGCAGACCATTTGGTCATTTTTAAATAGCTCATGATAGGGTTAAATACCCCATTTCCGGCCTATTAAGCACAACCCGCACTTAATCTTTCTTAATCTAGCGCAGTTTAGCACCAAATGGAATGTTATAATTACTGATGGCTTCCAAATTTATTCACCTTTCCGTATGTACCGTAAAATTTGATAAAGAGAAACCAATCGTTGAGATATTGTCAAAAGTCTAACACTGCTTCTTGACGCCAAACTCGGCATACGGATTCTAAACTCGGCCTAACGCATTGAAACGCCTTTGAAACGCCAATGAATTCACTTCGGCCTATCGGATGAAGATAAAAATTGATTTGACTCATTGACTTCGTTCCGGAGCTTATTAACTAAAGTATAGTACCAAACGCACAATTGACTTGTTTACTCTGAAATCATGGATTTATTCGAAGCGTTCGAAGCTTTCTGTTCGATAGACCCAAAATGGGCGATTAGGCCGAAGTAGTTTTCTACCCTAGGTAGTTTTCTCTCGTGATGGTGAGAGGACTTGTTTTCTCATTGTCACATGACAACCGTGATATTTACCAGCTCTTCATCACACAGGTGACCCCTAATTCACGATGCTGTGCTAACCGAAGCAATGGATCAGCGAAATTTTGCTTCTCTGAGGTACTCCGTCGCCCTTGTTAAGGTGAAAGTTAATGCTTTCCCGTTGATACTGATTCCGCACCCATTCGAACCATAAACAAATTCGAAATGCACCAATACCAACAAGCATTGCAAATCAGTAAAATGGGAAGTATTGAAATGTTGACCATATTTGTAAATACAAAACTTTGCATAATTCTAATAATTCTACTACTGAAATGACAACTTCAATTAAAAATTTTTAGAGAAAAGACACCTAGACCTCCCTCGCTGTAGGGGAACTGTATGGCTTTTCACAACTGTGTCCATGCAAACAACTTTTTGGGTAACCTTTAGTCTTATTCACAAATAACTTTCTAGCACTCACCCGTCCGGATCCTCCGAACATCATCGTTTCAGCACATTGATAAACGTGTCCCTAGGAACATTGATATTAGCAATCGCACGCATCTTCTTTTTGCCATCTGCTTGCTGCTTGAGTAGTTTCATTCGACGAGTCACATCACCGCCATACTGTAAAGAAAAAAGCGTTCCCATCATTCCTCAAACACTCCCCCACGTGGTTCCCATTGAAAACCTACCAGCTTTGCCGTCACATCCTTCCTGTACGCCTTCAGCGTCTCCCGAGCCACTACTTTTCCGCCAACCGTTGCCTGAATGGCGATCTGTACCATCTGCCTGGGAATCAGCTCTTTCAGCTTCAACACCAACTGCCTGGCATGGCTTTGTGCCTTACTGATGTGCACTATGGTGCACAACTCATCCACCAGTTGACCGTTCAGCAGGATATCCATCCGCACTAATGCACTCGGCACGAATCCATGATCCTCGTAATCGAAACTGGCATAACCGGAACTGATCGATTTCAGTTGATCGTGAAAATCCAGTACAATTTCATTTAATGGCATCAGGTATGTGGTCATAATTCGGTCGTTGTCTATATTGATAGATGTCTTTTGAACTGCTCTCCTCTCAACACACAGGCCAATAATTGGACCAGTGCACTCGGTCGGTGCGATAATCGTCCCTAGCACGTACGGTTCGTAGTATTCTTCGACCATCATCTTGTCCGGAAACAGGGCAGGATTGCTAACAAGGATTTCCTCAGACCCACCATGGGTAGCAATGATCTTAGCTCCCTTCAATTTGATCTTGTATGTCACGGACGGTGCTGTGAGAATTGGTTCCGCATCGTACTCCTGCTGCAACCTTTGGCTAAACACATCCAAATGCAACAATCCTAGGAAACCTAATCGCCAGCCTTGCCCTAGCGCTGGACTAGCATCCGGAGTAACGGTAACGGCAGAATCATTCAGTACCAGCTTCTCAATGGCACCCTTCAGGTACGGATGCTGTGACTGATCCGCTGGATAAACCCCGGCAAATACCATCGGCTGTTGTGGCTTAAAACCCGGCAGTGGAACGCACGTCTTGTCCTTCTTAGCGTACAACGTATCTCCAATATTGGACTCCTTGCTAGTTCTCATATTGCAACCCAATAGACCAACTTGTCCCGCAACCAGCCTGTCAACCTTCCTCTCGTCCGGGCGCAACATTGTCAAACTTTTCACTTCGTAAGCCTTCCCCGTGTGACACGAAACTATTTCCTGACCCGTCCGAATCTCTCCATCTTTCACAGAGATCAAGTTCAACGCACCACGATACCGATCGAACCAACTGTCGAAAATCAATGCACGGAAATTCTCCTCCCTTCGAGGATCCGGTGCTGGCAGCCTCCTTACAATCTCTTTCAAAATGTCTTCGCACCCGGTACCAACCTTGGCCGAAATGCGCAGCACCTGATCCGGAGTGATTTCAAACAATGTAAACAACTCCTGCGTCACAGCATCCGGACGGGCATTCTTCAAATCGATCTTATTCAGCACCGGAACGATTACCAGTTGCTTCGATTTTGCCAGGTGAAAGTTGGCCACCGTCTGCGCTTGTACTCCCTCGTTGGCATCAACCAGCAAAATAACACCTTCACAGGCAGCTAGCGATCGGGATACTTCATTGGCGAAATCCACATGCCCTGGGGTATCAATCAGATTCAGCAGATAGGTTTCCCCTTCATACCGATACACCAGCGAAGCCGTTTGAGCCTTCACGGTAATACCTCGTTCCTTCTCCACCTGGAGGCTGTCCAGAACTTGCTTGTTACCAGCCGTTTTAGTGATCGCCCCGGTTAGTTCCAACAAACGATCCGCCAGTGTGCTTTTGCCATGGTCTACGTGAGCGATTATACTGAAATTTCGGATTCGACTCACCGGTATCTGGTCGTAGGCAATGTCGTCCGTGTTGAGCCACTTGGTCGTGTTAAAGCTACGGGATATACAATTCCGAGATGTCCTAAAACAATCGATGACCGATTTAAGAAATAACCAACTCGCAAATAACAGACCATAGCAGGTACTCACCTGAGCAGCAGCGGAATTCGATCGGTAATATGTATGGCTCGGGAGAAGCCAACTATCTTGGTCCACATTTTACTGCAACTTAACACCAGGAAGTTCGGTTCATGTTGTAACCAACTTTGGAAAAACTACACAAATTACACAATATTTTCGCAAAATTTAACCGGCGTTCTGTGCGAATCAATCGTAATCAGAAATTTTTAGCATGTTTTCCAGGAAACGTCAAAATCAGCTGATATAAGCACAAGGCTGTTCAACGAACGTAAACAAGAGAGGTGGATGATTGGTGAATCAAAGTTAGCCCCCGTGGAGAATAGCAGAACTATGAATGTGCCCGTATAAAAATAACCATCGAGGGGTTTCTACCAAGCTTGTAAGGTGATCGGTAATCAAAAATTACCACAAAATTATTAAAATAATTAACCACTTCATTTGAGCAGTTAAAATGACGTTTACTACCACTCGAACTTTGAAATAAAACATTATTTTGAGATTTTTCTTCTAGAACCACGAGAAAAGTAACCATAATTTGTCCGTTTCATAAAAAATAGAAATTAGGGCTAACTACCCCATTTCCGGCCTATTAAGCACAACCCGCACTTAGTCTTTCTTAATCTAGCGCAGTTTAGCACCAAACGGAATGTTATTATCACTGATGGCTTCCAAATTTATTTACCTTTCCATACGTACCGTAAGATTTGATAAAAAGAAACCAATCGCTGAGATATTGTCAAACGTCTAACACTGTTTCTTGACGCCAAATTCGGCCTACGGATTCTAAACTCGGCCCAACGCATTTGGCAAATCAAAGTTGGCACTCGTGGAAAATAGAAGAACTATGAGAGTGATGATGGTTTCAAAATTTTACACGGTGAGGTATACGAGTGCAATCTTAAAATGTTTTTATTTTGAAAATGGAGCATTTTATTTAAACCTGGTTTATGCTACGCTAGTAGAAAACTTAAGGACTACTTAATAGACATATAATATAGAAATAATAATTTCTTTTCAGATTTTCATGTGTACACATAGATTTCAGCTTTTCTACAACTGTAGCAGCAACCAGATTTAAATAAAATGCTCCATTTGCAAAATAAAAGCATTTTAACATTGCACTCGTATACCTACCCGTGGAAAATTTTGAAACCATCATCACTTTCATAGTTCTTCTATTCTCCACGAGTGCCAACTTTGATTTGCCATTGAAACGCCAATGAATTCACGTCGGCCTATCTGATGAAGCTAAAAATTGATTCGGTCGGAGCGCTTCTTTTGTTTTTGGAAATAATGATTGCAAACCTTCATACCACACGTTCTCATTGACTTCGTTCGGTAGCTTATTAACTAAAGTATCATACGAAACGCATAATTGACTTGTTAACTTGAAAACTTAACAGTTTTCTGCTCGATAGGCCTAAAATGGGAGATTAGGCCGAAGTAGTTCTCTACCCTATTTGATTCAGTTTTGTGGAATCGCTGGTAGAAATTTTTATCGCCATCTTTTTCATTGGAAACGTTCTATTTTATTTAGTCCAGCGACGACCGGGAAACTTGCTAATTCTATGAATTCATGGGAGTTTCACTAGCAAAAACCAACACACCGTAAAGGCCCACGCACATTAGATCCGGATCGGACGCGTTGCGGCAAAGTGACAGCTAAATCTATTGTCTAACTGTCAAATTTACGTCAACGCAACGCAAACGGATCTAATGTGGGAGGCCCTTAAGATTCCACGCAAAACCAAACCGATGACCTCCGAGGAGTTTTTGTCCGCAAGCCTATCAAAAGCAATTCCAAAGAACAAATTCCTCTCCGTAATTCGGAGTTAGTATACATTTGAAATACATTTTAATCGAATCAATGTATAAACATCGTTTATGCATAAAATTATTCATTTTTAATCTTTCTTAGTTTTGTCATATTTTTGAGTGCATAGTTCTGTCAAAACCTCAGCATTTTCATTGATCAATTAAATAAATAAAATAAATTTCCCCATACAGTTTCACCTGCTTTACTACAAGCACAAACGAAGTGACAGACGACTAACTGGCGAAGAAATCCATTTAAATAATGTGGTTCACTGTAATAGAATTTTCTTTGAAGCTTGTGCCATCATCCACCAGATGGGTTAGTTTTATTGTTTTGATTTGAACAAAGTTGATTTTGTGTACAATGATTCTTTGACAGTGTGCAAAGAGTGCGTATCATTTTGTCATTTTTTTATGCATTTCAGTTTTGAGTAGAGTGAAAGAGATAGAACCAAAACATTCTAGTACATTTGGTGAAAATGCTAGTTCAATCTAGTAGTAGCAACAATCAATACGAAACTAACGATTTTAAATTGACTCACCACTTTAGTAGCCTATTGGCACAAACGAAGTGACAGACGGAGCGGCTCGAAAACTTTGGTGACTAACCTGCTATTTCAATTTTTCAGTGTACCACATGGCAACACCACTACTACTGGATTGTACCACATGGCAACACTACTACTAGATTGAACTAGCATTTTCACCAAATGTACTGGAATGTTTTGGTTCTATCTCTTTCACTCTACTCAAAACTGAAATGCATAAAAAAATGACAAAATGATACGCACTCTTTGCACACTGTCAAAGAATCATTGTACACAAAATCAACATTGTTCAAATCAAAACAAAAAAACTAACCCATCTGGTGGATGATGGCACAAGCTTCCAATAAAATTCTATTACAGTGAACCACATTATTTTAATGGATTTCTTCGGCAGTTGGTCGTCTGTCACTTCGTTTGTGCTATTGGTCCCAAGCAAACGATTAACGTACCCTATTCTAGTTGAAATTCTATTACTACACTATGTTTGTTTTGATTCGCTATGAAAGTTTGACAGATAACATCAGGGGTGTGTGGATTCATGCAGAACATGCAGGGGTGAGTGAAATAGCTTGGGACTGCTTGGGACCGTTGTTCTGGTACTGAGTGAGCCAAAAATAATAATGATTTTCTTCGGGACCCAGTGGTCTTAGAGTTACCTCTATGGTACAATCCAGTAGTAGTGGTGTTGCCATGTGGTACACTGAAAAAATGCAATAGCAGGTTAGTCACCAAAGTTTTCGAGCCGCTCCGTCTGTCACTTCGTTTGTGCTACAAGTCACCAGAGAACCAAAAAATTCTAATTTGACAGAGAAAGTTTGCTCTCACTAGTTCAATTTCCCAACATGCCATGTATTTTGATGACACTCTATTTGTGATTTCCCTCTCACAGACTACAAAATAGAGTACCTGACACTGCAAAACATGTCTGGTACCTCTATACATGCATTTTGATTAACATCCGAAGTGCCTCCTTTTTTACACATTCTGCTTAAAAGGTACTTTCTGCCCCACCCCATTCAAAATTCGGCAGGAAATCCAGTGAGGGTTGAGCTATTTTGTGTGCAGAATGTGTAAAAAAGGAGGGACTTCGGATGTTAATCTAAATGCATATATACAGGTACCAGACATGTTTTGCACTGCACTGTCCTCTGTGAACAATTAACGGAAAGCAGATTATGTGTAGTTTCCTATAGATGTTAGCGTTAGCGTTAGCGTTGTTATGATATACTTCGTAGATTGGATACTAGCGACACTCACGTCTCTTCTGAAATTCTCAGTTAGACTACTTTCAGGAATAATGCTGAGGAGTAAACATTGGTTCCAATCTAAACAAGAGTAACAGAAGCATGACTGTCGCTATTCCCGGCCACGCCCATCTTTACCATAACTAGGGATAGTGAAGGAAATGTTGATGTAGTACTTACTTAACGAGAGGCCACCGACTTAGCGACACCCTCATAAGTGCTACGGAGTTGGAGGGTTGGGTAGGGTATTTGGTTAGGATTCACCTCAAGTTGGCGATGCAACCAAAAGTATGTATTGTTTATTTGTTGTTTATTTAATCTATCGATAGCCGGCTATCGAAAGAACATATTCATTTTGTTTAGTGATCATGAATTTTAAGAGTAATGACAGAGAGCTTGGGATTAAACCCATGATTTTCTGCTCAGTAAGCAAAAACGATCCCTCCAGGGTCATCGAGCATCTCAGAACCATAACGCTTCGCGACAATACAGGACTACGTTTTCGCTTGATATGCAAATAGTTTCCATTAACAATATCAAATACACAAATGATGGTGGCGATATATTGTGCTGTGGAAGAGCTTGAAATTAAATCCATGATTTTCTGCTCAGTAAGCAAAATCGATCCCTCCAGGGTCATCAAGCATCTCATAATCCACAGCGCTTCGCGTCAAAGTCCGAATATATGGATATAGATTTCACCGCAAACACAACAGTGACATCTGATGGAACATGAATGCAGCAGCTTGACAAAATGATTAATTTATCAATTTAGATGGTCAAGTTTTGAACCCACCATACAGCATGCTGTATGCTTTTGGCGTTACTGTATATTTTTTTTATACAGGGGGGAATCTGCACACAGACACCTGAGAAGGAACTCAGGGTGTGGGGATGGGAGAATTTCACTCCCGACCCACTAAACCTTACCTTGTGCGCTTGGCCCTTGACCTCCCCGGAACCGCCCGAAGGCATTACTTCGTGGGAGGGGCCGCTCTATACTAGGGTGTTTCATTTTGAAAAAAGTGATGAATTTTTGATAGGCCACCCTCCAGTTCGATTCATAGCCCCAAAATATGAACCTGTGCAAAAAATGGTAAAGATTGATGAAGGTTTAGAGGTCGCGCCAATGATTTGGATTTTGTATGGAGATTTTGGTGAATTAGTATGGGAAATTATTGATTTTCGTTTACATTGCTCTAACTTTGGTTGTAGTTGTCCAAACGTTGAAAAAAAAAAATATGTGGTTGTCATGACAATGATCAACAAGCCTGTTGTTGTTGCGATGAAATTGGCGTTGTTGCCTTGTACATATTCATCTGTCAATTTACCCTATTTTGCCATTTTTTTCACATTTTTATAATTCTTGATACGCTGCAAAACTGAGCGTAGCAAGTGTAGGCTTTTTGTTTATTGCCATAGCAATAACATACTAAATTTTTTCGACATTTGGACAAGTAGAAGCAAAGTTATAGCGATATAAGCGATTTTTTAAATTCTTCCATAGTAATTCCCATACAAATTTCAAATCATTGGCGCGACCTCTAAACCTTCATCAATCTTTACCAATTTTTGCA